GCTCTTTGAACTGCACGGGAAAAAAAAAAAAAAAAAAAAACCCGCATCATGGCTGTCTTTAATCCAACACTTGAAGAAGCAAGTCACACACACACACACCTCCAAAATGTACACATTACAACATTTGCACAAGTGAGGGTGACGCATTTTTTTTCTCGTTTCAGTAGAGCTGCCCTGAGGGTGAGGAAACCAACCGCACGCAATAAGGATGGTACCGTTACAAGTACTATACAAAACAGCGCACCCCCCAATATAGTTAGCCAAAAAAAAAAAAAATCCGCGCTTCCCCCCCCTTGGCATCCTTTTGTGTTGAACTAAAAATTTTCGTTGACGAGGACATGTGGCTTGCTTAAGAGTTCTATGGACTCCTTTAACTCTTTGAGTTTTTTCCCCAATTCAATTTTCCTGTACTTGTCTTTGTTCGTTTTGTATTCTTGTGTTGTCTCGGTGAGTTGTGAGTGCAGCTCCTTTAAGACGTAGTTCCGTTCGTCGTTCTTCAGGACTCTGTATCCCTCTGGCACGTCCGTGGACTCATCCACAAGATCTTTTTTTTTCTTTAACATATAGGTGGGTAGTTTACCAAAATTCTTGTGCAGGTTGTTCCGCTTCTCCTTGTCGCTACTCCGTAGTTCGCTCCCCCGTTTCGAGAGCTTCTCAATGATGCTGCTTTGGCGTTCAGCAGGGGCGTTTACCGGGCCTGTTTCTGCGGCTGCATCTTCGCGCTTCTCACTTTGGCCTTGTTGCGAGGCCTCCATGTACTCCGCTGCATCTTCCTCGTACTCTACTTCTTCCTCCACGTACTCTGCTTCATCCTCCTCGTACTCTGCTTCATCCTCCTCGTACGCTGCTTCGTCCTGTTCGTATTCTGCTTCCTCTTCCTCGTACTCTACTTCCTCCTCCACGTATTCTGCTTCCTCTTCCTCGTACTCTACTTCCTCCTCCACGTACTCTGCGTCCTCTGCCTCTTCCGTCGCATATTCCCCCTCTTCACCCTCCGCGTGGTACTGCTCCCCCTGGTGTGCGGCAGATGCGTCCGTGACGACCCGCTTGGGCTGCGTTGCCTTACTTAGGCCCAGAGGGCTCTCTTCATTTTTGTGAAAATTTGTAGCTACCTTAGAAGCTACATTTTCAAACCTCTTCATTTTGAATGGCTTTTTATTTTTTGCTTCTTCCTTCTGTTCCAGCACCTTCTTTTGTAGAGTGACCTTATCCTGTATCTTTATAAAATTCTCCCTCATGTAATTTTTGTCTTCCTTGCTTCTAATGTGAGGGAAGGCTTTGTTAATGTCCTTCATTTTTTCAACAAAGCTGTTAGAAGACAGCTGGTTCTTCGCATTTATTTTTCTTTGTGCATTGTTTTGTGTACTAATCGCTTTGGTAGCTTTATACAACTCCCTTTCCTCCTTCAACTTTTTCCTTTGCTTTTTGGCTAGCACCCTGCGTACATGTTCGCTCAGATTTTCGTTTTTGCTCTGCCGTGGGGTAGAAAATGGTGTGGTTGCGCGATGGTTCATCATGTTTAGGGGTAACCTCCTCACGATTATAACTGTACCGGTTGGAGAATATATTTGCCCCCTACACACATATTCTACACAGACCCCCTATCGGGCGCACATTTGTGCGTTCACGGCCGTTGCGTCCATCTTGGTAATAAGCAGCAGACGAGAGTTACCGTCGCGCAATGGTACAATCGGTGAGCAGAAACAATGCACGTACTTACTTGGTTCATCATGGGGGCTATGAAAATAATTCTTCAATGAGAACAGCTCAAGCGGTGTGCATGTGTTGTGGGTCTCTTTTCAATCCATTTAGTTTCCTCAAAAGGGGAAGTAGACTTCCACCTTACCTTTTTTATGCTGATTTGTAAGTTTTTTTTTTTTTTTTTTTTTTTTTTTTTTTTTT